GGACAGGTTCTGATTGTGGCCCCTGTACGAGGGCACCCCTTCAAGTCTGCGCGTGCAGCCTGTACAAGTCGAAACGAAGCCAAAGTTGCTGCTTCGGCGTTCTTTCGCCACCTGCCTGGGCTGAACGTCGCAACTCTTTTGTGTTAGTGTGCCCATGCAGAGCGAAATCGACTCGACTGCCCTTTTCTCCACTTCAGAGTTCCTGTTTTGAACCGACAAAATGAGGGCCGAAACTCAATCCCAGGTGGAAGCTCCAAGAAAAATATGAGTACAAGAGGCCAGGGTCGGCGTAGGGCTTTCCCCTGCGCACGTAAGTGTCGCGTAAGCTCGCGCAGGCTAGCTTGCAAGGGGTCTTACTCATGAATGATTTTGGGCACAAGTACCGCCCAGTTAAGGAGTACAACGGGGAGCGCATCCTTATACCTATCCCTATACTATGTCTCATGTATACCAGGAGTATAATGCCGACATTCACTCCCTCCCTGTGGAGCACCACTAAGTCATGCACTCTTGCAACAACAGATCTGGAAACCTCCAATCAACTACGGCTTCTCAGTATCTTGCAGCTCTGCGAGTTTGGCGTGGGTTTGGGTTGGAGGTTGCTGGGTCAATCGCTGAAGCAGAAAAAGCCCACAACTGACTTCAAAGCAGCTGCAGCCTCGGCTTTTTGTTGTGACATCCAAAGGTTTGTTGTTCAGAACTTTGAGCTTGAAATGTTTTCGGGATACCATCCAAGAATCTGCGTGCCAAGAGAAGTGTAGGTGATTTTGAGGTGTAGCGTCAGCAAGGACTATTGGCCGCTGTCCCTACCCTACAGGAAAGCTTTCCTGATGCCAGGGCAGAAGTTCACACGAGAGGAAGATGCACCTTGGCCATGCCAGCATTGGAGTCGAAATGGATCCTCAGATTTCTGCAAGGTTCACGCTTCCATTGTAGTCATGAATGGCCTCAGGGCTGCAAGATGCCCCGAAACGATTCGAGGCTTCTTCAATTTCCAAGGGCGCCAGCTTGCCAGTAGATTGAAGAGCACCCTCCAGCAATCCCAACAAAGCTCTAGCCATGCTTAGTCCATTGACATGAAGCGCCTGCGCACGAGTCGGAGAGCTGCTTCAAGGATCTGAGGACGGCAGCACCCGCCAAGTTGAGGCTGTCACATGTTTCGCATCGTTTGCCCGCATCATTTTATGTTCGCTGCCAAATTCTGAAAAACTGCATCCTTGAAAAGTGAACAACTACTGTCTGACACAGCCCTTCCAAGAGGGAAGTCTGCAAGAGCCTCCCATACCTTGAGCCCAGGCCAATGTTCCTGAGGATTGCTGAGCGCACGGCTAGAACTACCAAAAGTCCTCTCAGCCTGCGCTTCAGTGTAAGACCAATGCAAAGACAAAAAGCGACTGCACTTCGCTGGTGAAAGTGCGAAGCCTGCTGCTGAAACTGTGCAAGCATGCATCACTTGTTGGGAATGTCCCTTGTGCACAAAAGCGCTTGCTGATATGGGAGTCCAGACAGGGGCTTTCTGGGGCAGCCCCTTCCCTGCACCACTCCGGCTGTTAAGTAGGCTGCGGCACACAGACGTGCCACTTTGCACTGCAAGTAGTTTCCTTGATGGAGCTTCAGGTTAAGATAGTAGACTTCAATACTGAAGCTGAAGCTTCAGAAGAGGCCATCCATTTATGGTCTGCTTGTGAAAGTGGTCTGTGTTTACGCAGACATTCAAACAACCTACATCCTCCCTGTAGGGCCACTGCTCAGCCATCATATATCAAAACCTCGGCATCCGCTAGGCCACAGCGCTGCAGCACTTTCCATGCGACTTGTTAAGCTGACCGTGAGCCTTTCCATGTCTACAGGCTTAGCTTGAGCATGAAAACTTCCAGCGATCACGGAATGATAGCAGCCCCTCGCACGAAACACAAAGCTTGAGAAGCTCACGCAATTGCTCCAGGGACATGACTGTGGTTTGCTGATAGTGCCTCGAACGAAGGTTGCATGTCTCAGAAATGCAGTCGTTGCTCTTGTTTTGAGGCCCCCCCGGCCACATGAGAACTTCCCTTGTTCGGTAGAAGTTTTGAATGATGAGGTACAACCGAAGCATGTGCCACGCAGTGGATGCTTTTCTCATCCCTGATTTGCATCACGGCGTGGCCAGCCTGGTTCCCCGCATGTTTACGGGTTCAGTGTGTAGTAGGTCTAAGTCAGAGACCTTTGAGATGAAATTTTCCTGGGATTCTCCGCAGCTACGGAGAGTAGGGTTGCTGGAAATCCGAGCCTTGAGAAGCTCCATGTGCCCGAAGGCGGAGGTCTCGTTGCAAGTCTATTCCACACTCCCAGCGCAGGGGAGTAAGGGTGGTTCAAGAGTGCTTGGCAAACATTCAACGGAAGCGCCTTTATTGGGGCACGCTACATTGTAAGCATACCTTTGCTTCCCAGCTGCAAACAGCATGGAAACACGTGCCCTCTTGCATTCCTTCATGCAGTTCATGCTGTTCACAGACTTCGCCGGCGCATCAGCAGATTGCAACCTGTTGCTGGGAAGGGGTGTAGCATGCACTCTGCTTTCACTTCCGGTGTCGCCGAGCTACAATACCCAATTTTTGGTGGGACTTTCGACAGTCTTGACTACTTGTGGCTACGTATGCAGCGTCGAAAGGAATCAAAACAAGGGGTTGGACTCAAGGTCTTTTGGGTCGGGCAGTGGTTTTGGGCAAAGCTCCCAGGTTTAGATTTTGTGGCAGTTTAGGGGCAGATTCACCTTGGCAACATGCCGAGAGAAGCAGTTTCAGGACCTAACCATAACATCCACCTTTTAAATCTGGAGTTGATTTGCGCCTCTTATTTGGAAATTCGGAAAATGAAACCGTTGCAGGAATCAACGGAGATATTGTGATCGAAGATCCACCCACGGCTTGCCAACGTCTAGAATCAAAGATTTCGATGCAAGCAAGCGGAAATGCCATTTTGGCCTGATGCGATTTCATTTAGATGTATGATGGACATGGAAGAGATACATTAGAAGCCTCTTCAGAATCCTTTGAACATGCTTCGTATATTTGTTCGAGAACTGTCTTCTGATTTCACATGAACCTGTTAGACTAGAACTTTTGTAACGGGGCATACAAGGCCGAGTTTTGCAAATGGGTCACTTCTTATGTATCGCATGCAAGTTCTGGGAATGAAAATATCGACCGGAGCGGACATCCCACGGATATGAGGCTCACTAGGAATTCCTTGGTTTGCTAGTGGGACAGGACCTGGTCGTCAGCTCCTTTTCTTTCCGTTTTCCCCAGCTGCGATCTCTGCCTCAAGCTCTTGCTCAAGCTTATGCTTCTGGGACGGAAAATGCATTTAGCAAGTAAATGTCGGTCCTCGAAGCTTTTTCTAGGTATGGTACTGTTCCCAGTTTACTTTTTTGCTTCCGTCATTCTCGCATCTGTGTCAGATGTTGAGCTTTGATGCTCATCCTTGGCTGCACTGGTGCGTTGTGGACAAAATGATTCATCATCATAGCGTTGTAGCGCTTATATTGAGGAGCCCTATGTATGGAAACGCCCAAAAGGCACTGATAGAGGCCTGCACCTCGCCGTGCACCAAAACCTTGAGAAATGTGAGGGCTTGAGCACCAGCAGTGCCTGTACCTTTGCATCCATTTTGCAGGCCCAACGTCGCAGAAGCATAAGATTCTTCTATGCAAGCCGAGACTCATCTCCATATGGGTTTGAGACGATCCCTATGTAAGGCAGGGTGTCGGTGTCATTACTGTTTTTCATGAGTGGTTTGCCGACAGACATGGGTTGAGTTAGAAACCTACATCAAAGCCACAGTGAGTAGGGTCAACACAAGTTATAACCAGTTACTGGATCTCATGAACCTCCAAGAAGATATCCTAAGCTGTTGAACCCTGTCAATTCGAAAACATACTCAACCCTGAACCATGTCCATAGCTGCATTACAACCCAGGGCACTGGAATTTACAGCCTCGCCATATATGTATTTATGGATAAGAAACGGAGTGTTGTGTGACAGGTGCATGGCATAACGACTGCACAAGAACATCAAGCGAATACGCAGGGAGCATCGTAGAATTGCGGACATCGCTAGTACCCCAAACCTTCAACAACAACACACGTAAACCCTGCAGTCTTGGCCCTTTTCTCCCAACCGTTACTTGTTCCCATCAAGCTGGGATTACTGACGAGTTGTTGAGGGTTTCATATGTAGCAGTTTACAACAAAGCGGGGCTGCTTCTTGGGCCCTGCTTCATGGTTGAGAGTATTATAGAGGAACCCTAGGTTCTGCAAAACCATCAAGACTCTAGCTTTTACAGGGTTTGGGGTGTGATGGCCTAGCGGTAGCATATGTAGTTTCATAGGAAGACATTTGCGGCACTGTCGCAGTCGCCAGCAAAGGCAAGATGGTGGCGTACAATCGCATGACCCAAAGTCAACCTGACTGCACGCAGAAATAGTGATCTACTGCCAAGACTAAGGCGACTCAGATAGGGACAATGGACCATAAGAATTTTGTGAGGTTGTATTCCTAATAAAATAGATCAAGGTTAAGATAGATTGCGAACCTCCCGAAACAGGATAGAAATGGAAATCAAAATAGAAAAATAAAGCCGTCAATGGGTGACCCGTGATTCTGTGATATTCTTATTTTTCCTATTTTAGCTCGCTTATGAGGGAAATTCTTTGCAAGCTCCTCCCCCCAAATGCTCCAAAAAGTAGTTCGCCTTGACCTTTTGCACCAAATAACCTCACACACGCCCCGTATGGATTACTTGCATGAGACATGTTGAGCATAGATCCAGAATTATAAGGCTCCATCCCTGCTTGCGTGAGAATCGCGACAATAACAGTGGCAACAGCAATAACGGCAGGACAATCGATAACGATTGAGAGAAGATGAGCAAGCATGATGATCATGACAGCCTTCACCGCAGCATTTTGCTTGCAGTACTGCTCTTCCACGCTTAGAAGGCGCCCCAAGATATCTTCGAGATGTTCTTCGGGGGATTCCCAGGCATGGATGGCCTTCCAGGCGGCGGAAGGAAGGGCGGTGGAAAGGGCAACAAGAGAGCGGACACCAGCAACTGGGTTGCTGCGAAGGAACTTACATAAGGCTAATCCCTTGAGAAGCTTATGGATCCCGATATTTCAAAGTTACTATCAGAAGTATATTTAGCCTTGTTTGGACAGGTTGCAGCACGTAGATAATCATAACCAAGAAAAGGGTGTTATGAGGGTTGGATGAAATTCTTCAACAGCCATCCAGGTAAGTTCTACAAGCTGCTAGAAGTGGACAAGAACGCTTCTGAGTCCGACATCAAGAAGGCCTACAGGAAACTTGCAGTGAAGCACCACCCCGACACTAGACGTTTTTAGAAGCTCAGGGAACTTAGTAAGTAGGTTATAAACAGTATAAGCATAACAATCCCAACAAAAAGGGGATCCATACTCCCATGTATAATCTACTTACTAATTCCCAAGAAGCTTCAAGAGGTACAGCTCCAACCCGACAATACATGGAGCTTAGGGTGTAAGGTATGATGTTTCCCCCAAGAATGGGAAGGGAAATGGAAAATAACATGGAAATTGCAGACTAAATGTAGGGATTCTCCAGGCTGCCTGTTGTAAACTTGAGCTACATTGTCATAGTTAATGGGGACATGTAATCATTTACATGCTTTCACTGCTACCACGACTTCACTTAAGCTTCGTAACATCAAACAAGTTCCATTACTTGCTCATGACCAAATATGGAACCCTTGAATGTTTAATATTTACATCAGAAACGTGCAAGCGAGAATACAAAGCAAACTGTAAATGCCTAGCAGCTAGCATTCGAGTAAGAAGGTGTTCGAGAATAGTTGAAATCCTAATTACAAAAGCCATAGCAACTGCAACACCCATCATAGTGATATGGGGAAGGAATAACACCGATGTTGTTCTGTGTAGTACTTTCCGAGAGATATTAGAACACTTTCTGTTCGTGACCCTGAAACAGCAAAGGACAAGGGCGGAGACCCTGAGATGTTCAAGGAAATCACCCGTGCTTACGAGGTCCTCAGCGATTCAAAGATGCTGGCCTGAAAGGATTAGTCGGGGAGCTAAGCCAAATAGCCCAATAATGCTGCGGGAACTTATGGCAGCACGAGGGATTACAAGGGGTTGCTGGGTGGAAGTTTTCTGACAGTGGGAATTGACCTCGAAACAAATACACTTCTTATTGATTCGCCTAAGAATTTTCCGAAAGGAAAAACATCACGGTTCTCCCAGGATGCATTCCCATGTCCCAGGAAGAGGGATACCTACGACAGGTTCGGTGAGGAGGGTCTGGAGGAAGGTGGCGGTGGCGATGCAGAGGACATCTTCTCTGCCTTCTTCGGTGCCTGCTTGGCTTTGCAGAATGATTTACCGTGTCTTTTGTTTTGCGTGCCTACTGTGGCGCAGTTCAAACCACGAAAGCCTGTAACCGCAGCTTGTCCTTCTCATTTTTTGAACGGCCCAGGTGGAGGACGCCGGGGCGGGGGAAGCAAGCGGCAGAAGACCAAGGACGTTGTGCAGCCTTTGAAGGTGGATGTGTGTCAAATTCGGCTTCGACTCATGGAAAACCAACGGGAAACGGACTGCAAAACGGAATGGGTGTGTTTCTCTGTTTTCGGTTTAGGGGTTCCTCGAACAGATCTGAGAGTAAATCGCACACTTCTGAAGAACGGAGTTTGCCGCTGCGCCTGGCGGATCTCCGAGCGCGCACTGGATAGACAGAGGCGGTTTAGGGCTTCTAAGTCTATCGAGGTATGAGGCACCAGGCCAGACACTGGCACATTTCAAGGCTGGGGTTCAGGGATTGGAGCCTATCATTTCGGGCGTGCTTCCAGGCTCGCGAGACAAGAAGTTATACTTCAAGTGCCCAAGAAAACAGGATTTGTTCATGAGTGCACGCAAATTCTTCTGCCTTGAAAAGTCCTTGTAGGCCCCTACACAACCCTCAATGTTGAATCAACTCCTTCACAGGGAGCCCAATTTCAGATTCACCCCCAGAAAACGTAATGTTTCGCAGATTCTAAGCTCCACTCTGGTATAGCATCTTATAAGAGGAATGGAATCTTACTTGGTTAGGTAACCAAAACAACCCTAAATGGAGGTTCATTGGAATTCGTGACTGGTTATATTGGCCTAGTAAACCTGTCTTTAACCCCTCACTGGACGGACTTCCTGGAGTTATCCCGCTCATAGGCCCCGTTATGACCAGTTATGAAGTCCCATTCTGGTGGTTGGCTGAAGCTTCAGGATTGGAAGCACCTACATACCCAGGAATTGTCCTAGGTCCCTGGGAGGACACGGCTGACAAGTAGAAGCTTCACAATCTGCTGAAGTATGTAACTCCACATAAAATCACGTGCCTTCAAGCCGTAAATCCCCTTCACCCTCCTTGAATGTCCATGCCAGGTGATTGTTCCCAGATCAGAATATGATATGACAGGGATAGTTGAAAAAGTTCAAGAGGATGATAGCTAGAGTTATGAAACGACTTGTAGCCAGTTACTAAGGCTTTCGGGTAAAGCTACCCCCAACGCTAGTTGTTAAATTCGTTCACCGTTTATTGTGCATTGCTTTTTCATTCGAATCCGCCATGCTCTTGTAGAATGTCTATAGCCCCAAGCTTAGAGTGCTCAGTAGGGAATAAGGATATAGAATCATTTTATATTCCCTATAGAATATCTTCTTATTCCCTACTAACCCCCAGTAAGCAAAGTAAACCTCAGGTGACTTTGGAGGGCCTCTACTCCGGACAGACCAAGAAGATGGCCATCACCCGCCAGGTGGTGGACAAGGAAAAAGGCGTCAAGGACTGCGCAGAACCCAATGATTTATGTAGGTAACTGACAAGTTATGGGAAACTATCTTTATTCTTTATGTTTCGGGCTTTTAATGTTAGATGGTATGCAGCTAGGGAACCCTCAGTTACATCCAGGTTTTGATCTCTAGTGCCCTCTGATTTCCCCCATGGACAACAGTAGCGCTTCGCAATCTATCTACCTAGACACAGGATAAGGTGGGTTTGGGATGTAGTATTTGGTAACTGCGAGAAATCCAATACTTTACTAGGGCCCATGAGCTTGATATGCAAGAATGTGACAGCAATGATGCTGGCGATCGCAACAGTGATGGTAGCAAGTACCCTGGCATCTGTTGTAAGCACGACTTCTTGCAGCAGTCATTACATTAGCATTAGCCGTCATAACTACTATAGTTGGCTATAATAGCAACATTAACGTTGGCAATCAGACCGGCGGTACCAACAAGCATGAGGACAAGAATATAGCAACAATGAAAAAAGATGAGTGATAATTGTGAATGTACGAACGGTGCTGATGATAATGACCGTGGATTACAGTCTTACAACCAGAATGACACGACAGCAACAACATCAACGGCAAGAACGACAACTAAAACACCAAGTAAGGATCTACTATATGTATATGCGTATGTAACAGTATACCCTGCAGATGTGATCATCGAACGAATGGCTTGAGGGTTGCCATAACCAATCATCAAGGGCTGCTGTAAGCGAATAGTCGACATCATTACAGCTACTCAGGTCCATGTGTGGGATCCATAATATACTTTCTGGGGCTTGGATTTCCTCGAACACATGCAAAAGTGATCCACTGTTGTTCCCAGGGTAAGAAGGTCGAAGTACTAGAGAACACCCTGCTGACGTGACAAAACAAGAATGCTCAGCATGGGAACAATTGTAAGAACCATGCAAGCGATAGCGAAGGATTGCCCGAAGTGCGAGGGGCGCGGCGTCCTGATCGAGATCATTCGAATGGGCCCGATGATCCAGCAGGCCCAACAGTCTGAATCCAAAACACGTGGCCTAAGTCCCTAAACACTGAACTTGAATCTGTTGACTGTGAATCCCAAAACTGAGGGCCTAAAACCTCCTACCGAGCACTAACATTCCAAAGCCGAATCAAAAACCCAAAGCTTAATGTCTACACCTCCATCACTAGGGCTTGCCCTTCAACCCTACCTGGGCCCTCCAATGTACTGCTTATTCGCGCAGGTGAAACTGATTCCCAAATCAAGAAACCAGAATAACCTCCACAAAGGAACCACAAAAGGGAGGATTCAACCTAAACCGCAAGACCATGGAGCAGGTCCAGCAGCCCTGTGACAACTGCGGAGGAACCGGCAAAGTCTATGCCACGAAGAATGAGAGGGAGGCAGGAGTTTCTGCTGTTGCCGATTCTTCGTGGCTTGTAGGGGTAGGAGTTGCGTTTTTGTTGCTGTAGGGGTTGGAGATGAGATGATGCAGATGTGATAGGAGCTGTGTTTCATGTGGAAATGTATGAGAGTAAGATCACCTTCTCCTTTTTGGGTATCATGTATTACAAGACAATATGAACACCGCTGGCTAGGCAACCAAAACCTGCCACTCACATGAGAGTTATGTCTCCTGGTGCTCGATCCACATGCTGGAGATTCGGCTGGCTCGGCCATCCTTATCCTTCCAGTAGGCTCTGCATGACTTTTGGGATACCATGACCTGGTGTTGCATACCGCCTTACGTGCTCAAACCTCACACTCTGAAACCCTCAACCCTAACACTTAAGGACAACAAACTCAACCACTGAAAGCAGCAAGAGCAGGTACTTGAGGTGCACATCCAGAAAGGTGCTGTGGACGGACACAAAATTCAATTCCGCGAGATGGCTGACGAGCATCCAAATGCGGACACGCTGGGCTGTAGAATAACGGGTAGTCAGCATTGGAGAATCAAAGGGTAGATGAACTGGAACTGGGTTTCTATAAGAATAAGTACCATCATCATGGTCCTTATTTCTTGTATTATCGGGTATAGGGTACCCCTTCAAATAGACCTCAAGAAGAGAGTGGGATCTATAGTAGGGCATGGCAAGAACTTGGAAGGGCCCAAAGATGGGTTGCCAACACATTTACTGAGTAGACTAGAACCAAGAAAGGCCTCACAGTAGGGTTACAGCGCAAGGAGGTTATGGGATGAGGGGTTGGTTTCAGAGGTGTAGCGGGTGGTGCTTGGAGGGGCATTTTGTTGGTGACACGGTCATAGCTTCAAGTAGAGCTAGAAATTAGTTTTTGGGTTGTAAGGATATTCATAATCAGCCTATCAGTAAGCACCCCTCGAAGTTGGGATTTGGGCTTCGGGTGGAGCGGGTAGTGGCCTTAAAGGTCTGTGTTAGGGGGAATTCAGATATAGAGTCAGGTGAATAAGACAATTAGAAAATACATGCAAGCTGTCAGAAGGGTGGTTTACATGGGTTACATAGGGCTTGGGGTGTGGGGTTGAGGATTTAGGGCTTCGGGTTGCAGAGATTCGGGTGACGGGTATGCAGTCGTGGGTTGTTTTTGCCTGCTGGGCCCCGCGAGGACACAGGTGATGTCGTGTTCGTCTGCAAGGAACAGGAGCACCCAGTCTTCAAGCGCAAGGGAGCTGACCTCTTCATGGAGAAGAAGATCTCCCTGGTCGAGGCCCTCAAGCCAAAGCCTGGAACCCTCAAATCTTGAATCCCTGGACTTTAAAAACTTGCACCTTGAACCCAAAGCCCCTAGGACATATTCCTCTGCAGTAGGGCATGAAAATTGATATCCGCATGACGGATAGAACTTCCATTATGTTTTCCATGTTCTTCTTTATTTGATTCTGATACGTTCGTTCCCTTCTAAGTACGAAGACCCAAGATCCTACCCCATGATTTTAATTCATTCTTCATGCTCTTATCATTGTTGTTCTCCATCGTTCTGGATTAATTCTTCCCCAAGAACAATCCCGACGCAACCCCAAACCCTTACCATGTAGAGGCCAATTTCCATGTCATTTTCCATCTTCTGTTCCATTTGATATTCCGTTGTTTGGGCAACGTCCTTAAACTCCATATTGCCCAAGATAAGCCCTAAACAAGCCTGCATGACCTGCATAAAGGCTTGTGTTAGCCCAATATATCCCAAACCCTAACATCAGACCTCCCTGGCCTCCAGGCCCTCTGCGGCTTCGAAACGGACATAACTCATCTGGACGGGCGGAAACTGCTGGTGAAGACAGCCCCCGGTGACAGCTGCAGAAAGAGGGTTTGTATGGGTACAAGTTGAGGATTAGGGAACATAATTGTGTTTTGGCTTGTAAAGGTTTATAATATCAGCTTTAGAGTGGCGAAATAAGATGGACATTGACATGTAAGCTACCAAAATGGAGTTCTGTGTTACTTACGAATGCGTATCTGCTTTCATGCGAAGTGTTTTCTGTTGTTTCGCGGGTCAGGTTTTGGTTTCAGCCTTAGGGTGCATAGTGGTTGTGGTGATACAAGTATGGCTTGAGGCATTTAGGGTTCCGCATATCTCGGATTTTGAGGTTGAGGGTCCCAGCTTCGCAGCTTTGAAGATTCAGGCTTCACTCTCCATGCTCATTGATGGACTCCGAAATTAAGGCTCTCTTTCAGATCTCCCTCCAATTGAGATAATAGCACACTTGATGTAGTGGTTTTGGGAAACTACCGGTTGTCGCTCAAAGTAGTAGCCTTTTGGTTGCAGTGTTCCGCCAGAAGGAACATATCTTTCTGCATACCAGGTCTGGGAGCCTGCTTCACTCCAGTATCCCTATGATTCTACGATGTTCATTCTCGAGCAACTCCACCAAAAAACGAAGGCTAACCCTAAATCAAAGCCCTGTGACATCCTCTAGCCTTGCACTTTTCTGGAACTTCGCGCTCTCAACTTCTTACCTTTAAGCCCTGCTTCCAAGTGATTTCGTGCTTGTTTTCTATTTGAATTGGGACAGTCCTCATATGCAATTCCTTGACGACTCCTTGAGTAGTTGCGTCGGGAGAGCATCATACGCAGGTGAGATCATCAAGCCGATGGAGGGAAATTTTGACCCACTTGCAGCGCAGGATATCTACTCAGATAGGCTTAGGGCTTGGTCCGAAATATTCCCCGGTGCACACTGGTAACATTTTGGGTGAATATATGAATTCTCCACCGTAGGGGGTGGGGGGGTGGGGGGGGGGCGATTATTCGGGGAGTCTCGGCCCCTAGCCTGTCGAAGCAAAGAGATAGCCTGCAAGAAGGCGCGGCTATAAACGACAATTGATTTTATAGTCATATTTAGTAAATGCATGTATGGTTCCTTGGCAATGTTGGTGAGTGTACACCGAAGGCATTCTTCGATTCCCACATATTTTAGATACCAAAGCAGCCGGGCCAAAAGGAAGTATCCAGGGACTGTAGGCAATACTTACCCAGAGCCTTGAAGGATCTGAGAAATGGATCCCTGCAATGATGAACCCAGAGTTCAAATTTTAGCAGACAGGATTTTTGAGGATCTTATCCTTGACATCCCTATACAGATTTCTAAGTAGCGGACTCTGGGGAATATGTACCGGCTACAGGAGAAGTTTGGTAGGATGTAACAACATGCTCCCCCCCATGTACCTACCCTTTTTGGTTTGGAAACCCTAGAATATGGTTATTTCAGAAGCATAACGTGTATACACGTTCCAAGAGACAGTCCGCATTTGGCACCAAAAAATATTATATATATATATATGCATACGCAAAACTACGTATTAGAGATCTGTATGTCCATAGCTAGAATTATCTGCTAGTATATATGCAGAGATTAGCCGGTTCTCCGAATTGGTGCAGGATGCATAGGTTCATACGACCATAGCGTTGGTTTTGTGAAAGAAAGCAGGAGTCAAAGACCGAGTGGGAAGTCATCGAGGATGCGGATTGCCCGTCCATTGACAACGTTGCGCAGGCAGACACCACCGACGTTGACGCGTTGAAGAAGGCAACGGTTCAAAAGTGGGCTCCACGTAAGGCACCAGCCAAAACATGAAGATTCTCAATACCAGGACTCATGGCAGGACATGTAGTTTTGAGAGATGCCCCGTGAAGGCATGTGAGACGCAGCTCAAGAAGAAGGGTATTGACGTGGGCGCGTTCGTTGTGGATGGCAAGCGGGCATTCTTCAAGCAGTGCACCCGCCAAGAGGTCATGGAATCCCAGTGGTTTCTTTTCCGATTTTACCTGACCCCACATCAGGGACAGGAGGGCTTTATAAGGTTCACAGAAGTGTAGATAGATAAACATGAATGGAGAATTGGCAGATAGAGCGGATGCCACAGTAATATTATAGTGAAATGAGATTTTTCCGAAATGAATGATAAGAAGATCCTTCTTCTTAGACTAACAAGTTATAAGTCGCTGGCTTAGGTGTTCGATTCGATGTTTCAGGTTCTGAGGGTTTACAGTTTTTAACGCTTTGTGTTGTAGGGAGTCTTCAATAAAGCGACCCACTAGAAAAAAGAGTACCCTTGCTTTGAGATGGTCGCTGTGTTGCCTGCAGGCGCTGGCGGTGAAGAAGACATCCAAGGGCAAGACCATGTACATAGTGGCCGACCCTGATGCCAACAAACGCCTCCGAATGATGCAGGCCTTGAAAGGCGAAGGGATGCCGACAGTCAAGAACCCCTTTGTGCACGGCAATTTGTTCTTGATATTCACCATCGAATTCCCAGAGTCACTCAGCGTGGAGACTCAGAGCTCCTTGAGAAAGATGCTACCCTCACCCTTGAACAAGCCAAAGTTCAAGAAGGATGACAAGGATGTGGAGGTCCACACCCTGACGCACATGGATCCCGTGGCTTCCTTCAATGAGAACAAGATCAACATGAAGGGTGGTGGTGAGGCTTACGATGACGAGGACGATGACGATTGTGGCATGCGTAGTGGACCTGGACAGCACGTGCAGTGCAACCAGCAGTAATTATGATCAGAGATGATCAGATTCGACCTGCAATGCATCAGCATTTGTGGCCCACCACTGCAAACAGCTTGTGGGCCTTGGAACGCTTTGTACAGACTAAGCTGAAGCTTGTGTTTGCGTTATTGTGCTCGTGTTTTTTTTCCGTAGAGGCAGGGTTTCATGGAAGAGAAGCCGCTATCAGGCTCATCAGTTGTGAATTCAGTCAGGTTGCGAAGGGTGGGCGCTGACAGAGCAACACCAATTCCGCAACTACGAGGGGTAGTATCTGTGTGCAAGCGCTTCCTTCCTTATGGAAGGATCCTGAGCTTGAAAAGTTGTTGCCACCCGGCATATGACTGCAGCTCGCGAAATTGGGTCCCTGGAGTGGTCGCATGGTCTATGCTGATCTGGGGCTTGAGGGTACTGCATCATAGTCCACACATATTCCTAGAAATACGTTACACATCCCCAACGTAATCCTGGTATGTATCTTTGCAATGGTATTTCGCAAGGAATGATGGGACCCTTACAGCGCTTCCAAACAGCATCCCTAAAGCTGTCAAAGGAGGTTCAAGTAGAGTCCTCATAAAACTTTAGAAGCCAACAGGAAAGCACGAAACTTGTTGGGTTTCCTTCTGTATGTATATTATATATGCACTACGACGTTTGAACTTCATTTTCTTTGGCTAATTGAGAAATAAGCGAAGGGGCACAGGGCTCACACTGTATTCGGAGACTCATGGGATTTCAATAAACGGCAAAAAGTTTGCGCTAGAATCCTGCTGATTCTGGGAGAAGTTAGCCTGTAGAGATTGCAAGTGAGGCAATGCTCGCACTGATAACCAGCTACTGCATCCTATGAACCTTCAAATATGGCTCAGGGAGAGTGATCGATCTTATGAGTTCTATTATGGTTTTAAATTGCAGGAACACGCAGATTCGTTGTTCAGTTTCTCGCTAAGTCACTCCCTCAGTCAGTGCCATAGTATCATCGGGGAGGCGGTTAGCAAACCAAATGTGCTGTTTGTCTAGAAACCATGTTACGGTACGGTTATCAATTCAGGGTTGGGGCTACTGGGCCTAGTTTTGAGGTTCCATTTTACCATTTCAAGAATTTGGGGTGCATTGAGAGAGATTAGAAAGGTATTTTGAAGATATATAGGAGACCCAAGTTTTTGGAAGGACCTGGTAGTACTAAAGCACCATTCATATTCTTTTCCACGTAATATTGAAGGGCTTCCCCCAATTATATTCCGACCCGTATTTACTATTGGGCGGGGCGGTGTATTTATCGTACAATCCGAAAATTAACGGGGTGGATCATGGGATCCTTTTGAAATCTACTTACCAAATAAATAACGATCAAATTGAATAGAAAATTGATTAAATCTAATGAAAATCGTAATAAATCAAGTAAATCAAAGCAAAAATCATTGAGATATAAATATGATTTATATATATTTAGAAATTGATTATAATCGTCTAAATATTTCAATGACCCTATAAAATTTCTTGAATTTGTATGCCAATGATAGAACCCTCAGCGGCATAGTTGGATTGGTAGGTTGACAGGACGACCAGAAAAAAAGGCAGAATAGCGAGTAAGACGAGGGAAGATTAAAAAATAAATAAATGCGGTGGGTTGGAGGGCGAATAATTTCAAATTTGAATATTCATTTCTGATCGTATGGAAGGGATTTATTTTTTGGGAGTCTGTCTCGAGTCTATGCACTTCGTCGATTGGCTGCTATATTCAAAGAAAGAAGTCTGATAATTCGCATGATGAAAGCAAACGAAATTCGCGTATTGTCGTTTTGGAAGATAAATACGTGCGATATTAGGGCTCTAGGGCATAAAATAAGCTTGTCGCTATCTGTCTAATCTTTAGAGACCTAATATCTCATAAAAAGAGGCGGTAATAGAATTTTATAGAAGATATTTCGAAATTAGAAATCTTTCTTTAATGATGAGAAAAAAATGCTATTTATATTCTTGAGAGGCCTAATTCTTTAGAAAAATTATCGACCATTATATTATAGGAATTCTATTTTTAGAGGATTTGGGAGGCGCTTTTGATCGCTGTAATAGGAGACTTCATTTTTTGAAAATTGTCTTGCTAGAGGGATCGTAGCCGAATTGCTCGCGTTTTTATTTAAATGAAGTCATATTCTCATACGAGATCTTCAAAATTTTGGATTATATTCTTTTTCTTGGAATATTCAAAAATTGCGTATTAATACGAAATAATTTGATTTTTACGATCTCGTTATTATTAATTTTACTTCAAACAAATCGTATTCTCATGCGGAAGACCCTCGAAATTTCGTCGATTTATTTTCATCGAGATTAATCAAAATGATGCTCCCATATGGAGGATTCGGAAAATTGAGGCCTTTATGAACGATGATATTAAGGATTAATTTCATATCAAAGCAATCTCGATATTCTTCGTTCGAAATAATTTTCTGGGCTCAAGAGGACGATATTTGGAGGAGATTTCTGATATATGATTGATAAGGGATTCGTCGACATCTTCGTTCGAAATGAGATTTCTATACTTGTTGATATTATATTATATATTTATTGATATTTTGCATTAAAAAATCGTATATGGAGAAATATATGCGATTTCTATTATTTATTTATATTTAATTTCTTCAAAAATTTTACCAGAACTTGATTATTATTCAATTGAAATAAAGTTCGTTTTCTTTAAATTGATTTTTATAGATTTTCGTTATTGAGTTATATCTAATATTTTCTTCTTTTTTATTTTGAATTTTGATAAAGATTATTTTTGATGTTATTTCATTTTTCATTTTCTTATTTGGATTTATATGATAATTTCTCATATTTGATATTTGGAAATATAAAGTATTCGTAATATTATTATTCTCATTGTTTTCGAAATTTCAATTTTTATTGATAGATTATCTTTCTGGGGAATATAGAATGCATCGTAGAAAAGATTAATTCTCGTGATTAAATATATTATAAAAATAAATAATTGAATATTTATACATTATCTTTTAGAAGAATGATTTTTGATTATTTCGAGATCGTGATAAAATTTAGCATTCATTATATGATTTATTCGGATAGATTATAAAATTTGATATTTTCTAGATCCAAGATTTCGTTAATTTTAAATTTGATTTCTTAAAAAATCATGAAGGAATAAAGTTCGATCATCAAATTTATTATCTGAAATTCTTCATTTTCAAAAGATTATTTCTAGTTTTTTTGATTTTCTAGATCGAATGGAAGGGGGTTCACTTGTGACT